GTTGTCCTCTATTCAGCTGGCTTTGGAAACACACCGCGAGAAAGTGGGGGCTGGGTGGTGAGGGTTACGGGGGCGCTATCTGCTTGCACATGCGCAAATGAGCTGATGGTATGGCTTGTGTTTGATGCATCCAACATGGATGCTGCAGCTTTGCAATTCAGATTTCTGATATCAGTTTAAATTACAAGTAAAATTACACCACATGCTGTATCTAAGAAGTTGATTGAAACAAAAACAAAGCAAAATTAAACTGAACTCAATAATTTGGAGATTTTTAATAAACTATGTTGCAATAACTTAAAAACAGAAAAGCACTTATTATCTTATTATACGGTAATGCAAACAAAATTCATTTAAAAAGTGCCCCAATGTTGTTTGGACTCAATCTCCGCTAGGTTTCTTTCTCTTAAAAGGTAGTTTTTCCTCTCCACTGTCACTACATGCATGCCCAGTGTGAGGGATTTTTTAATTGGTGCTATATAAATAAACTGAATTGAATTTTAAATGTGGTAATCTACTGATCTGGAAACCTCCCCTGCAGTTGCAGAGCTGTGGTTTCCAGCTTTGGCTGCTGTAGCGGCACACCCAGGTAGGGAAAGATGACACCCACATAAAACTATTTCGCTGAGCTACCGGTCCTGCTGCTTTTACGGCCTGCAGGGAACAGATGGATGGTAGGAACAAGAAAACAGAAGAGGAGAAAAGAGAAAATTAACAAGAGGCAATGAAACTAAGACCTGAATATAATGGTGAATATTTGAAGAATGTTCTCTTTTTATTTGGATAAGTTTAGGTTTTCTTCTTTTTTTCAGTTAGTTGTAATGTTTATCTTTCAGCAGAGTCAGAACAGAACGTGTAGGACTTTGGACTCTTGTGACGATCAAACATTAACTGTAACCAACCATAAAACACTCTCAGAATCATAAAAGCTGCTAAATGACTTTCTGATTCCCCTTAGTTTCACCGAGAGCAGCATCACAATCCAAAACCAAATCCTGCCAGATTCATCCTGAGCTCATCTCATCCTTATTCCTTTATTCATTCCAACTACTTAACTTATCTTATTCATCGAGTAAGAATGACGAGCGACTGAGACGCTTCCACTGCTCCCATCCTTTCTTTCTAGGGAGAGTTGGTATAGTGGAGGAGTAATCAATTAAAAATCAGCGGGGTTCGAATAAATAAAAACGTCAACCAGTAAAGGTCTGGAGACATTTTTAATTATGATCTGTTACTTTAAAAAGAATTTAACACTGAAATAAAATTAGGTGTTTATGGATCCATGTTATTCATTAAATTATTAAATAAAAAAAATTAAAGAAAAAAAGTTTTTCCATCTTAAAATCTGTAAGTGTAGAACAAAAATCGTTCAGTTTGGTACATAGACAATTTCCTGATTCACATATTTTATAAAACAACTGAACTGACTGAATCTTTTTTCTGTCTTAATGACAGCAGTGGGCTTTATGCTGCCCTGCAAGGCTTTAAACCTGGGTTTGATTGGAGACAAAGCCTTTCTAAAGCACATATCAAGGAGCTCATTTTGAGCCTGGATCCATATTTATTTTTGATTCTGTTCATGGTGGATAATCCTGCTTCACAGCAGCAGGTTGAGCCTAATATACTCAAATTGTGCAGGGTCATCTTTGAGCATGCCATTTCACTTTCTTTCACCAGTTCACTGCAATTCTTCCAGTAGTCCACACCTTTTCTGCCCTCTTTTTCTCATGTTCTTCTCCTTCTTCTTCATTGCCCGGCTTGCCACAGGTTTGCCTGCTTTGTGTAAAAGTAGCAGCAGCAACAACCCAGACTGACAGCAGCTTAGTGGCTAATTTGTATTACATATAGCCTGGTGCCAGACGCTCCAGAAGCCTTTACCATATAAACAGGAGAAGTGGCGCAAGTGAAGTTAGACACTGTCGTTGGACAACATGCAGTAATTTCTAAATTATAAATCAGGTTGTGTCCAGATTCACTAGCAGGTGGGTCTGGATCCGGACCGCGGTTCACTTAACCTTGACCTCTGGTCTAGTGGGTTAGAGAAGGTTGCAAGCCTCCACTCTGGGTTTCTGAGCAATACCCTTAACCCTTGATTGCCACCTGGGAGCCACAAAGTAGCAGCCCACTGGTCCCCAAGGGGATGGGTTAAATGCAGAGATAAATTTCTCCAATGGGAGATCAAACGTTAATCAGCAACATTAGGTAAGGAAGTGTTTTAAAGGTGAACTGTAATAAAAACTGTAGAATTTCCAACTTAGTTCTCCACTGATGCAGATTCTATGATTCAGAGTCAAAAGAATAGTAGAAGGAAGCTGCAGATAAATGGCCTGAAAAAGGTACTCAACTCAGACAGATGGATAAAAATTTAGATGATGTATAAACAGATGTGACCACTATAATTACAACTCCTGCAAATGGGAAAAAAGACAAATCATTTTATAAATGTCGCTCACAATATCTATTTGAAAAACCCAATGATTTATAAAGCATATTCCCTGAAGTGTAAGTGTAGGATCTGGAAGGCAGAAGTACTGATCAAGGCTGGCTGGAGAACATGTAGGTTAATGGCCTTTATAAACAGGACCTTCATAAACTGTTGACATGTCCTCATTTTAAAGGACTCCATTTACTTTACTGCATTACACTGGTCCTCAGTGTAATGCAGTAAAGTAAATGCATTTAATGCATTGCACTTTTTGTTTAAAACCAAAATAATAAGTATAATTATCTAGATCTCTGTTAGATTCTAGGAACAGATTTTGTTTTCTAGGACCTAACCCTCTACAACTTTCTCTGGTGACCTCTCTGTTAGGCTGTTTGGTCTTTAAGATGCTGCTCATTCTCTAATGTTTTCTAAAGAACTTCTGAAGTGTGAACAGCTGCAGTTAAACTCAGATTAAAGAAAACACAGGGGAACTTTCTGCACCTATTAGGGGACTTTAAAGGCATTTAAAGGAGAAGTTCGGTTTTTAACACTTTTAGCCCATTTTCTGTAGTGTCCAGTGTCCAGACCTGTCGGTCGGTCGGTCGGTCGGTCGGTCGGTCGGTCGGTCGGTCGGTCGGTTTTTCTCTATGCAGTACCAGTATAACATTCTTCAGACTAACCACAGCAAAAATGTAAAAAATAAAAACAGGAATACTTAGAAGAACTTGGAAGATTAATGAATTTGGCCTATAATGCTGATGATGATTCTCAGTCATCCAGGTCATAGTCATTCCAATAAAAAGTTAAAAACAATCTATTTGACTTTGTTTCCAAGTTTTCCAGGTTTTATACAGAAGCCCAACAAAACCTTGGTTTTATTTTGAAAACATACAAATTTAAACAAAGAGGTCCACCCCTTTGAAATGGTGGTTGTTTGGCTTTTTTTGTTATCCTGCAATTGTTGGCCTTTTTGTTGGTTTGTACATCCAAAGGACAAAACCCCCAGACCTAATATGAGCAGAGTGGTACAGTATATGCAGTTCCATGCAGTGAGGAATGCTCTGATCTTTACAGTGGAGAAACCAAACAACCTTTCCACAAACAAATTACCCAACACAGAAGAGGGACCTCGTCCGGACAAAACTCTTGGTACATCTACACCTTATGGACAAAGGACATTCTTTTGAGGACCAAAATGTTCACATTTAGACAAAGAAGGTAGGTGGTTTGAGAGGGGTGTGAAGGAAGCCATCTATGTTAAGAAAGAAAAACCAACCTTAAACAGAGGGGTAGACTCAGATATCCGTTTTCAAAACTCTACAATGCAGCGATTGAGTTGATCCCTTTACGCTATTATCACAACCCCAACCCCTTTACAAGTCAACAGAAGACATTGCTTATTCAGCCAGGGCAACAATTCCCTTTAACAACCTCCATTCAAAGACTTAGCCAGGTATGGGGCATTGCTGGCTATTAAAAGAAGCCAAACGACCCCCATTCCAAAGGGTTGGACCCCTTCGTTTGTTTCAATTTGTAAGTTTTCAAAACAGAACCAAGGTTTTGGTGGGCTACTCTATAAAACATGGAAAACTATAAAACCTCGAACTCAATGCTATTCCTGACATTTTGAATTGAAAAAGCTTCCTGCAAGAGAAATGTCTTCAAACTTGAAAACAAAGTGCAGTGGATTGTTTTTAACTTTTTTTGGAGTGGCCAATAATCTTAAGCTCGGTTGTCTTAGTCGTTTATGGCCAAGGGAATGTGACTCCATTGAATAAAAATAAAACTTTCTGGCTGTGCCATTTTCATTTTTTTTTTCATTTTTTTAGGTTTAAGTTTTTACACATAGTTTAGACAGTTTTAAAAATTAAATGACCATTAAATCCTATTAAAATAGTATCACTTGTTTTTTTTTTGTCCTGGAAACCGCGTCAAAAGGAGATCGGACACTTTGTTGCTTTGCCTGGTTTTTGTTAGTTAAGGCTGTTTTAAAATGGTTTTACTGATTACTTTTGATCTATGAAATACACCTAGAAATAGAAATAGAAATGAGAGACTTGAAACATATATAATTCTTCCCTTTCCCTTCACTGCTTTAACTGTCAGCAGAAACCACTTGCTGATCAACCAGAGCAGATACTGGGTTTCCTGTCACCCTCCTCCAGTCATGCTTAATTTGCTGTTTGTTTTCAGAGTGAATAGCCTCATATGTTTGTCTCTGTTAGCTGCTGACCTGAAGAGTGGCTGAAGACTCTCCGTCATTATCATCATCACTATGAGTACATTAGTGTAGGAAATGAAGGGGAACAACAGGGCGTGGTCCTGCAGTTTATGGCCCCTGGTAGAGTGTAAAGTCCAGCTGATAGAGCCACAGACAACATATTAACAACCTTTAACTGAAGGAGGGACATCAGTACTTCCAACAAAGCTATTCTAATCTTACTTGCCACAGTTTCCCCTCTGAGGACTTGTTACTAACATTTTCTGCCTTAAGGCTTCCAGTGGAGGCTCCTTCACTTTCAGGTCAACTCTAACGCTTCAAGTTTGTTTTTTTTTGTTTTTTGTTTTTTTTTAGAAATTATCTGAAACCTTTGCAGCCATGTCGACAGCAATGGAGGGAGTAGGGTTCATCATGAGCATCATTGGGTTTCTGCTCACCGGGGCATCGCTGGCTAACGACTACTGGAAGATCTCCACGGTGTCGGGCAGCGTCATCATCTCTCAGAGGCAGTTTGAGAATTTATGGCACGCCTGTGCCGAGAACAGTGGCGGCATCGCCGAGTGTCGGGATTTTGAATCTATGCTGGCCCTGCCTGGTAAGCCGAGATCAGGGCCTGGACCAAATGTGATCCTAACAGCTATAATAAAACAAAACATGCTAACCTTTTCAGTATTCTTTAGTCACAAATGTTAATGTATCTCGGTAAAAAACATGACATAAGTTGTAATTAGACTTTTGTATAGATTTTAAAAGTGGTGAGTAATTCTTTTGTTAGTTAATAACCTTTTAATTAAATATTCTGAAAAATTAGTTCCTTTAAAAGGCAAATTATATTAAATATCTTTGGGTCTGTTATTTCTTAATTTTAAAACTCATCTAGTGACATGAATTGAGGAGGAGACTTAATGAGAAGTGATTCCATTTGGAAACATCAAATAAGTAAATCTGTGCTTGATTTTATAATGTGCTCAGTTTACACAGGGATTTATAGTCTGAAATACGTAAAAGCTGAAAAGAAATGTTTTTATCAAATGTTTTTATCATAGGTCAGTACACCATGTCCAAATGGTCCAAAGGTTTGGGGATTTCCAAATCTTAAATTTCCCGCCAAAAAGCAGAAAAAACATCAGTCACCAGAAAAGCATTTTGTTTTTTGTTAGAACCCCTACATGTGATTAAGAAAAAGTACATTTCTAAGACGTGAAAAATATGCATATTTTTCATTTTTCATTGCTTTATAGGAGAGCGGGATAGGTTACTTTTGGCGGCCATTTTGAAGGTTTTTCTTTACAGGTTGTAAAATGGAGGAAAAGATAGAAGTAACTAGAAAGGTCATTTTTCTTCCGCAGTAGAATTAGGTATTCAAATGGTTTAGGTACAAAACTATGCATCAAATTGGATAAAATTTCATTTTTATTAAAAGACACATCCTGGGGTATTTGTTTTTTCTTTGAATTAAATCCGTAACAGTTTTCCTTTTTTTAGTTTCAAAATTGTTTCAGTTTTAGGAAGACATGTTAGATATGTTTTAAGTATTGCTTTATTCTAAAGTATTAGAAATATTTCCCTAAAACCATCATCATGGTTGGTTAGTGAGGTTTTTTTTTCTCTGCTCATTACAACTGAAACTGTCAGTCATAAAAAGGTGCGGTGGATTTTATGATCAGGGAATCATTCAGTCAATAATTAACACCTCCAGCTGTAAAGCAACAACATCCCACTGAATAGTTCTTACTCTTTGTTCCTCATAATACTAAAAACCTGATGAAATCCTATCTTATCCCCTTCAATCTGGATGAAAACAACATGTTGGAGCTTTCCAATATTTAGCCTGAATCCCTTTTAACCTCCTCAACTTATATAAACACGGAAAATATTAAACTAAATGATTTATAACAATGATTAAATGTTACTTTTTATTAATCTGACACAAAAACAACATATTGGACTGCAACAAATTTAATAATGGACCCTGAAGGTGATGTTGTTTCAGCTTTGGCACCAGTGTGTTATCTTAAAAAAAATGTATATTTATATTTCATTAAGTTCTGATGTCTTTAAACTTTCACATAATTAGCTTACAGTTTAAAAGAGCATTTTCAGCATCTTTCTGTTTCTGCAGGTCATATTCAAGCATGTCGTGCTTTGATGATCATCTCTTTGCTGCTCGGCCTCTGCTGCATGATCGTCTCTCTGCTCGGACTCAAGTGCATCAAGATTGGGTCGGCCACAGATGAGTCCAAGGGCAAGATGGCCGCTGCTGGAGGCATCCTGGGCATCCTGGGAGGTACATCGAGCAGTTAACATACCGAGGAGATTTAGACCAATATACACCATCACGCTTTCCTCTACAGCATAACTAGTTTTCCTTCTACAGGAGTTTCATTGCACTGCAGTTCACATTACTTTTAACATCTAAAAAAAGTCCTCTAAGAAACAAGTAAAGTCAGCTGCATGGGAAATGTTACCAGCATAAATCTGATTGGGATTATTTCAACATAGATGAATATAAATGTAATATAAAATTCTAAGCTTTTTACGGGATTCAGACGGGAAGTGTTTATGCAACATATTTAATCTATATTTTACAGTAAATTCTTTACTAAATACCATTACTGCTCAATCGGTTATCAGGGCCCCCTGTGGAGCATTATGCATGGATTTCAGAACTGCCATCACTGCCCGACCTGCTTCAAAAATTTCCAAATTAGACCTCACCTTCCAGAGAACTAAGCCCCATAACTCAGATCATGTTTTACTGCATGTATTTTTATTTTTCCTTTCAACTTAACGCCCTATGAAGAAATCCTAATCGGTTCTACTTACAGTTGTTCTCCAAAACACACTATGTAGCTTACAGAATGATAGGAAGTTTTTAGGCAAGAGTTTAGTGCTGAGGAAGTCCGTGTTTTTGTGAAGATAAATAGTTTGAATGTTTTTTCAGATTTCTTGCTAGATTACAGAGCTCAGAATAACCATTTAACGGTGAATCTACTGAAATCCCAGTTAACATTTACCTAGCAAAATATATAATATGTTGTCATAGTGGCCAAGTGGTTAGGGCATAGAGCTTGGAATCCTGAAGTTCTACGTTCGAGCCCCACTCCCACAGACTGCCATTATGGGTCTCTGAGCAAGACCCTTTACCCTACACTGCTCCTTGGGTGCCCAACAATGGCAGCCCACTGGTCCCCAAGGTGATGAGTTAAACACAGAGGCAAATTTCTCCAATGTGAGGTCAATAAAGTTAAATAATAATAACAATAATAATAATAACAATTATTATTATTATTAATAATATTATTATTAATATTATTAATATTATTATTATTAATATTATTATTAT